ATGGCAAGAAGCTGAGCTACAACCTCGAAGGCACACAATTTGAATCCATCAGCTACTTAGTGGGAGAAGACTAGGCAATCTCTTCCCCTGCTATTAACTGCCTCTGAAAATCAGCCAGAGGCTCAGCTATGGGTTGGTTCTGATTCAGTGGTACACTACAAAAATTATAAAATGTACCAACTTTTTCTTTATAACTTAGACATGTGAAACTTAGGAAAATATTTTTCCAAGAATTTAAACAATTCTTACATACAGTAAAATTCACAAAAGCCAGAATATGTGTAAGTTAGAAATCATCAGAGATAGAAAACAAAAATATTTTCCACTAAAATAAGTGATAGACAAGTGGTTTTGTGTATCCTCTCAGCAGCAGAAACTTGTAAGACGCACAGATACGAGGCAGCCCCACTGAACTCCGGCTTCCATGTTTCCTAAGATTCCTTTCAGGTATGTTCAGGATTCTATTTCTAGCATTTATAATTTTGATTTACCTGGAATACTTTAGGCATATGGAATTAGTATGTGAAGTATTAACACATGCATGGTGATTTCTAGGATCTGCTTCAACAGTCTGGATGTGGGGGCTACAGATGTGGGTACTGATAAAATGAGATTGGTTTGTAATTATTGAAGCTAGGTGACAGGTATATGAAAGCTCACTTTGCTATTTTCTCTGCCTTTTGTATGCTTAAAAATTTTTCTATTAAAATGGTTCGATTGTTTTTTTTAAAAAAAGAGTGATTAATTTTTCCTTAAAAAGAAAACCTTGCTCTCTGCCAGGCGTCCTCGTGAGAGTAACATCATCTTTAAATCCTGTGTGGCAATCCCTGACGCACCGCAGTGATGCCTAGGGAAGACAGGGTGACCTGAAAGTCCAACTGCTTCCTTAAGATCATTCAACTTCTGGATGATTATCCGAAATGCTTCATCGTGGGTGCATACAATGTCGGCTCCAAGCAGATGCAGCAGTTCTGCATGTCCCTCCGGGGGAAGGCTGTGGTGCTGATGGGCAAGAACACCATGATGCTCAAGGCCATCTGGGGGCACCTGGACATCAACCCGGCCCTGGAGAAGCTGCTGCATCACACCTGGGGGAACGTGGGGTTTGTGTTCACCAAAGAGGATCTCACTGAGATCAGGGACATGCTGCTGGCCAACAAGGTGTTGGCTGCCGCTCGTGCTGCTGCCATTGCTCTGTGTGAGGTTACTGTCCCGGCCCAGAACACTGGTCTGGGCCCGGAGGGACCTCCTTCTTCTATGCTTTGGGCATCACCACTAAGATCTCCAGAGGCACCATTGAAATTCTGAGTGATGTGCAGCTGATTAAGAATGGAGACAAGGTGGGAGCCAGTGAGGCCACCCTGCTGAACATGCTGAACATCTCTCCCTTCTCCTTTGGGCTGATCATCCAGCAGATGTTTGACAATGGCAGCATCTACAATCCTGAAGTGCTTGACATCACAGAGGAGACTCTGCATACCCGCTTCCTGGTGGGTGTCCCCAATGTTGCCAGCGTCTGTCTGCAGATTGGTTACCCAACTGTGGCCTCAATACCACATTTCATCATCATTGGGTATAAGCGGGTCCTGGCTTTATCTGTGTAGACTGACTACACACCTTCCCATTGGCTGAAAAGGTCAAGGCATTTCTGGCTGATCCATCTGCATTTGTGACTGCTGCCCCTGTGGCCGCTGCCACTACTGCTGCTGTTCCTGCTGCTGCGGCCCCAGCCAAGGTGGAAGCAAAGGAAGAGTCGGAGAAGTCAGACGAGGATATGGGATTTGGTTTCTTTGACTAAAAACCAAAAAGCCATCAATTCTGCCAGCTTTGTGTGCAACAAGGAAATAAAGAGGAAATAAAGGCTTCATTCTCTAACAAAAAAAGAAAACCTCTTTTTTATAAAGATATACTCTAGACAGTTGACCCAATCTATTCACTGTATAATTTGTTTTATCATCAATGACTTAAAGTCTCATATACTGTTGGTGGTATTATAAAATGGCACAACCACTCTGGAAGAAGTTTGGTGTTTCCTCAAAAAATGAAACATAGAAACTCCATGTGGCCCAGCTATTCCACTACTAAGTATTTACCCCAAGGAAATTAGAACTGAGACACAAATGGAAATTTGCACACAAATGTTCATAGCAGCATTATTCACAGTTGCAAGAACATGGAAACAGCCCAAATACCCAACCACAACAGAATGGATTGAGAAATTGTGGTACATTCACAACGGAATACTATGCATCACTCAGGTGCAATGGTTTTGAAAAATACTACATAACTTGGGAGAGACTGGAAAGTATTATGCTGAAAAAACTAACTCAATCTTATAAGGACAAATTCATAAGACAATTATTATAAAAATAGAAGAAAAAGTAGTAAAACATTTATGGTGACCCAACTGGGGAAGGGGTGGAAGCAGAGGGATGAGGATGAGTAGGGGCAAAAGAAAAGTGTTGCACAATTTGGTGGATGGAGGGAGGGAGTAAAGGAAATCAGAAAGATTTGGCAGAGACCTGAAAAGATGGAATAAATTGTGGGCATAGTCCAATGGTGATTAATTTTATCAAGCATAATGAATGGGAATGATTGTATGAAATACTAAGTGAATGAAGAATAGTGTAAAACAATGTATACAAACTTTGTAAGCATACCAATATAAAATAATATTTAAAAGCCTCTTCTATCACAAACTCTTTAGAAACAAAAATAACAAAGCTTCATCTCATATACTCTGGACATATTGCTAAGGGAAGTTATTCTTTGGATAGGGACCGTATGCTTGGAAAGGTGGAGAGTAAGTGAAGAGAGGAAGACCCTTAACCTGGTGGGCTGACACAATGACTATAGTAATGGGCTTTAGTGTGTTAGAAATTGTGAGGATGACACAGTATAAGGCAGGGTTCAGATCTGTTGTTCTCAGTCAGGGTCACTATGAGTAGTACTTGACTGGATGTTACCTAACAACAACATCACAAAGTTCTACTATATAGTTGAGTCTACTTATGTAATAGAAAGAATACCACAGTGAAAGCTAAGTACTTCTTTGCTAACTGAAATGCCGGCAAGCTTGAATACATGCAACAACTCTGTGAGAGAAAGACCCTGTGATGTGTCCCATAAAGATGACAGCCCAGAGCACCCTGCAGGGCATCTCTACTGAATCACACAGGATCACTAATCCAGTCAGCTGGACAGTACTTAACAAGCACAAAAACATGTTTGGATTACTGTTTCATTGGTAAATTAATATGCCAGTACCAAACTGTTAATAGTTCCAAAGTCAGATTTTTAATAAAAAAAAAAAAAAAACCTCAGGCAGACTCTCCTTCATCTAAATTAAAAAGGCATAATAAAAATTAACTCACATTTATATAATTTGCATTGATATAGTCTTCATTACCCTTTAAAATAACCCGCGTAGCATCATCTGAAAAAAAAAATTCAGGTGTAAGAATGTTTTAATAAAGTTATTTTAAAAAATTAAACAATTAGACAGTAATACTTACAAGGCGAAATATCTCTGTATCTATTTTTTGAAATGTTCTGAGGTAATTTTGCACAAGTCATTGTCATTCCAGGTTTTTTCCGATATAGTTGCTTTTTTTGAAAAAGAAAAAAAAAGTATATGATGAGCCTACATGCCCACACTTTGGGTTGTTTCTTAGACTTGTTTCTCTGGCACCAGGAAACACGTTTCCTTTCTCCCCTTTGAATAGTACTCGACAGACCTCAGGTTAGAAGAGTACTGCATCAAATTTGCTTACCAACGACAATATCTGGCATGAAATATATTTCATATTTTTAAAAATGGTAAAATAAGTTAAAAATATTCAAATTTTGAATAGCAAACCTGCAGAAAACATTTAGCTTCGATTTCAGGAATGTTTATAATACATGAACTAAGAACATTAAAAATGATGTTCATGAAATATTTTATCATTACCAAACATATCTGCAATATTCAATTTAATGCAACAAGCTTTCATAGCCAAATTCATTGACAAAGGTTAAAGAAGAATTAAATTTATGGCATGCCCTAGTGGGGAGGTCCACTTGGTGCAAGATGGTGTAATCCAGCAGTTCCTCTGAGGAAGAAAGATGAGTAATCTCTCTTGTGATTTACAGCCTCTGGAAACTTGCTCCGAGAGTCTGCTACTTAACAGCAGTGAACTGAGGCTTCCTTTAGCTTAGGACTTCTAAGTCTACAAACACTAATTCTTATTTATATTTTCTAAAAACAATTATTCAATAATAGAAAGGAAAATTTAGTTTGAGGATATCTGAATAAAATTCCCTTATTCTCTTTTAAATAGAAATTTATATCCAGAAAATCATAATTAGTACTGTGAGAGATAATTTTAAAAATGTTTGAAAATTAGAAAGTGAAGGAAGCTCTGGTGGCCTAGTGGCAAGAAGCTGCGCTACAATCCTAAAGGTGTGTGGTTTGAGAAGGAGGGGCAATCTCCTCCTGTACCAGTCAAATCGATCTGACGGGATGGTAGACAACTAAGAAAAAAACCAAACCATCAAAAACACCAAAACAAAACAACAACAACAAAATTATAAAATGGTGCATTTTTAAGCTTATGCCAAACATATTTCTCAGAATTACCCTAACACTTTATAAGTTAAGAATTTTGAGTGAGTTTTCTCTTTTAAATAGAAATCTATTCATACATAATTATCACTTTTAGAACTAATTTTAAAAAGGTTTTAAAATTAGAAAAGTGTACATTTTAAATTCTTTATACCAAACACAGTATTTCTTAGAATTAGCTTACAAATTTTGTTTACACATTATTAAGAATAGTATAGTTTGATAAAAATAAAGAAAAAGAAATAATTTCTATGAGGTCAAATTATAAACAATTATTTTAAAACAAATATGAAGATATAAGGAATACAGAATCTAGGTTAATGGAAACAAAATAATCAGAAAATAGAAGTAATGAGAATGTTCACATTTTGTGAGTAACGTAACCAATGACAGTGAACAACCTGTGTAGAAATTGTGAGATGGGAACTTAAACTCCTGTATATAAGTCCTAACCCAAAACACAACATATTACTAAAAAGAACAAAATGAAACATTACTAAAAGAAACAAAAGTAAATCATGAGACTAAACAGACACTATGGGCAAAGACCTTTTCTATCCATGATAGTACTCACGTCAAACTGTGCCAGGACTGTTCCAGTGACAAGCCCCTCAGCGAGCTGGGTCATTGACTCCCGCAGTGAATGGTCATCTGGATGAACACTGTCTAGTGGAGCTTTCTCAGGAATGTACTGGAAGTCCGGCTCATTTTCTATCTTTTCTTCCACTATATCATATACAGCTTAAGAAAAAAAAGCATCACGTAGAAATGTCAATAAATTGGTGAAATCAATTTATCAGGTATGTCCTTTAATTTTATATTTGCTTATGAAGATTCACTAGAATCAATCCATATCTGAGTCAGGTGCTACTGCATGTAGACATAGGGTATGAAATTGGAAAGCTATGTTGTACCTTTAGAAAAGTGAGCTTGACAATAAATAAACAAAATGTTAAAAAAAAAAGAAAAGTGAGCTTGGAATTATGGCTGGTAACCTTGGAGAAGACCTTGAGAAAAAGAGGAGCTATTAATAAATAGGTCTCAACAGTCCTGTCTTTAATAATTGTAAGACACAGGGCAAGAATATAAATAGAGACTCATTCATACATCTAAACCTGAAAAGTTAAATAGAAATTGAATTTTGTGCTAAATGAATCAGTTTCCTAATGGAAACTATATTTCCTATATTTGCTCCTTACAAATATATTCTCCAAAATAATCTGGGAGGCCTAACATCAATTGAGAAATCTAGGTCAGAATCCATCATCATGGTAGCAAAGAGAGAACTCTAGTCTGCTGTCCAATTGGCTTCTTTCCCTATCCTCAGCTTATTTGTTTTAAAACATGAAGGCTGATATGCGTATGTGTGAAAATCCATTCAGGCCCATGCACCACTTCCTTCTATATCCTTCTGTAAATTTCTGCCTTCTAAGACTTGGGATAGAGAGTGCTGGTAAAGAATTGCACTGCCAACACAAAGGTATATGGTTCCAATCACCAGCTACTCTTGTGGAGAAAGATGGGTTCTCTCTTTCCATGTAATTTACTGCCTCTGAAAACTTGCTAGAGAGTCAGCTATGGGTTGTCGGTTCTAACTTGACATTATATAACAAAAAGCCTAGGAATACATATACCATGTTGCCCCCTGTTGGGAGAATGGATATATAAAAGAGGCTCAATCAGGGCCAGGAAGTGGACTCAGAGTTATGTGGATGGAGAACTAAAGGAAGGCTCGCATGAGTTGGTAGCTCTCCTGATTCCGTAAACTCCTAACCAAAAAGGGCAAAGCTGAGCTGGAGGAGAGGCAATCTTTTTCCCTGGTCTAAGAGATCTGGTCCCTGCTTGGGAAAGATAAAAACTTTTGAAGCAAATAAACTCTGAAATACTGAAAGCATAAAACGATAGATATAATTTTGTCCAAGAAGAAATAAGAAGAAAAATTTTCATATTTCTTCTTGAGAGATGTGCTCTGTTCTCCCCAGGGAAGCTTACTATTGCTCTGCTGTAAGATGCCAAGGCCTGTGTTGCATGGCCAGCCCAACAGCGTCTTCCAGCCCGTTTCCCAGCATCTGCTAGGGCTGTGGCCCAGCCCAGGTGCACTCATACCCTGGCCAGTGAAAGAATCATTGTCTACCAGGTTTTGAGTTGCTGCAGTTTTAGCATGGCCCAGACTGCAATCCCACCCCAGAACACTAGAGTGCTTGCCTCGGCCATCTGGATATCCCACAGCCTGGAGACTGCTCAGCTGCTGCCATGCTGCCCATTTAAAGAATACCAAGATCACATGTACTTTGGCCTTAAACACTATCTTTAGCTACATCATATGGGATTTCTTAAGCTCAAAAGTAAGAAGCCGGTGGAGCCAGGGTTTCTAGAGTGCAGTCATCCTACTCCTAGTTGATTGTTGTACCCAGGAGGGGAGCACCAATATACACATTCTTCACAAAACACTGCTGTAAACTAGTCATTATATAGTTACAATTTAACATCTACTAAGAAAAGACATATGTCAAGAAAGCAGCAGTCTACCTCAGTCATCATGAAGTAACACATGAAGTAACAAAATAACCCTTCTCCTAAAAAAGTAACAAAATAACCCTTCTCCTAAAAAAGTAGACCCAATGAATACCACAGATAGAACCAGAAGAAATATGCTAATGTGGAGTTATTTGAACAACTACAGAAAAAGATGCAAATGATAGAAAAAAGAATTGATAGTACAGATAAAGAGGTACAAGAATGTAAAAAAAATCATCACAAAATAGAGAGGGTACAGTCAACACAGTACTGTAAATAACAGAAAAGTATGAAAATGCAAACCAGAATACTAAGACTGATTTGGGAGAAGTGGACAACACACTGGTCGGACAAAAAAAGAAGAGCTGAAGAGATGGAACACAGAGTCAGTGAGCTGGAAGACAAGAGCCTCACTGCAAACATACTAGAAGAAAAATCAGAGATGAACTGTAAAAAAAAATGAAGAAAACATTAGAATCATGTGGGATGATATCAAAAGGAACAAGATACATACGACTGGAATTCCAGAACATGAGAGTGACAGGGAAGTCACTGAGAATATTATGGAAGAAGTACTAGAAGAAAACTTCCTAGGTATTTTGAAGAATGAGGACATCCACATTCAAGAGTACAGTGAAGACCAAATAGACTAGACTGCAAAAGAAAAACATAAGGACAGATCATAGTCAAGTTCAACAAATTAAAAGATAAGGATAGACAATACTAATCTCTGATAAAATAGGCTTCAGAATGAAAACCACCATAGAAGAGAAAGAAAGGCATTAAATACTGATTAAAGTACAACAGATCAAGATGACATAACTTTGATCAACATTTACGCACCAAATGAAAGACCTGCAAAATATGTAAAACAATGGTTAACCGAATTGAAGAAAGAAATAGACAGTACTACAATAGTGGTAGGAGACTTCAACATACGACTCTCATAAAAAATTAGGTCACCTCAAAAGAAACTTAAAAAAGATTCAGAGGATCAGCCAACCTGACCTTGTGGATGTATTCAGGGTACTGCAGCAAACTAAAACACAATTCAGTCCCCCCCCCCAAGTGCATAATAGTACATTCTTCAGAATTATCTACTAATAACAGATTAAAAAATGCTTTAATGGTATTTGATTATGTTGTCATGCTACTTTCCAAAAGTAGAGAAGAATTTAACATTTATTAAAATGTCCAAAAAACATTTACTGAGTATCCACGATGATTGCTACAGGTGGGCGAGTGAAGCTATTTTAGTCATGTGGTGAGAAGACATATATGGCATATGAAGAGAACCTGAGTAACGTAAGGGAGTAAGTCATACAAAAACCAAGAATGGGGTTGTTGGTAGAATGAATAGCAAGTATAAGACCATAAAGCAAAAGTGCTAAAGCATCTGATTGACAGCAAGAAAGTGTAGGCACCTAGGGAAAGTAAGTTAAGTGGGAAGATAATGAACCAAAAGTTTGGATTTTTCTTCAGCTGGGAATAGAGCCACTTCACTCTGGCTATTGTGCAGTAAATACCAATAAATTATGAAAAATAGGTCATGCTCCAAAGAGTACTTACCATTAGGCCGAACTAGGAGCACAAGTTCCCCAGAATGTCTTTCACAGCTTGCTTTAATAAACATAACAACCTGATCATGGGTATGCTCTGCAATATCACGACCATTGATCAGTACAACTTGGTCCCCTTCATTCAGCCGAGGGACACAAAGGTCAGCCTGTAAAGCAAAGTACACAAAATTTCAAAGTTATACGTAGTTTTTTTAAAAGTAAAGCACAGGACTCAACGGAGGAAAATTAAAACTACACATGTAAATTCAACTGTTCACTCATGCGTCTATGAAAAACATTAGAAATACAGCTTTCCCAGACAGGCATTACGGGTTTCTTTTACTTCCTTCATTTAACAAGAGAGGCCTGAAGGCACAGTCCCTGGGGAGGTGTGCTGCCAAGCCAAAGCAGCACCTCTCTGGAGCTAGATTACCAGCAGCTCCCTGGCAGAAAGCCTGGAAGTCTCTTGTGCAACTTACAGTCTCTAAAAGTCAGCCAGAGAATCAGCCTTGAGTAAAGCCAGATTAAATGGCAAGAACTCCTTCCAAATGACATAGTGCATCCCTAGATATTAGAGGTTCAGATAAGATTAACGACTTAGGCGCAGCATACAGGCTGCGCTCACGTGGCAATCCAATATGGACTACAAGATGCAGTGCCTACACGGTGTAGTAAGTAAAATGAAAATGGTGGAGTTATTAGTAATCATATTCTACTACTGAAACAGAGGAATAGAATAGCAACAACAATCAAATTTTTCTTAGCAGAGGCTTAAGAGTCACAAACTGACTGCAGACAGTGGGTGTGCTCACAGCTGTGGAGGTGTGATAAGTGTACAGTTCTAACTCAGACAGCTTATTGATTTGTAGCAAGTTTAGAGATGAGGCGGATTTAGTTTACTTTGAGAGGTAAGACTGGAACAGTTACATTAGAAAGAAAAATGAACAATAGATGCCTGATGAATTGACAAGTTTCTTCTAAGCACCAGGTGGAGCAAGCCCGGATCCACCAGTGTCTCTGAGGGAGAAATTACAACAATTACAGTCTCCTGAAAAGCTGCTGGAGTATCAGTGATGAGTGAGTTTCAATTCAACAACAATGAAAATTATAAATGATTAGCTGCATTCCTGTCCTTGGGTTTTTTGCGACACTATTAAGAAAAAAAAAAAAAACAACTCCAAATTTCCATTTAATCAACTGAGACTCATGGAAACCCGTATGTGCCAGAGTAGAAATGTACTTCATAGGATTTTTACACCTCTATAGGCTCAATGTCAAGAAGACAAAAATTCTCACCACTGGACCAATCGGTAGCATCAGGATGGATGGCGAAGAGATTGATACTGTTCACAGCTTCCGTTTGCTTGGCTCCACGGTCAACACTCTTGGAACCAGTAGCCAGGAAATAAAAAAAACGTATTGCGATGGGAAAGTCTGCAGTTAGGGACCTCTCCAAAATACTCAAGAGCAACAGTGTCTCTCTGGAGACTAAGGTCTGCCTGATACAGGCCATGGTTTTTGCAATCACTTGTTATACATCAGAGAATTGGACAATGACTAGGGAGGATA